AGAGTTACTTGCGGCGTGTTGTTTACCCTTTGGAAAAGCTGTTGACATCTCATAAACGTCTGGTTATGAAAGATAGTGCAGTGAATGCAATCTGCTATGGGGCCAAGATCATGCTTCCTGGTGTTCTCCGATATGAGGATGGCATTGAGGTCAACCAGGAGATTGTGGTCATTACCACCAAGGGGGAAGCTATCTGCATGGCTATTGCATTGATGACTACAGCAGTGATATCTACCTGTGACCATGGTATAGTAGCCAAGATAAAGAGGGCAAGTCAGAAGAAGATGATGATCAAGCAAGGCCTTTTGGACAAGCATGGCAAACCTACAGACAACACCCCTGCCACCTGGAAACAGGACTACATTGACTGTACTGATTCTGGCAAGAAAGCACTGGTTGCTGAAGCAGTACAAGCCCCTCAGTTAGCTGGTGAAACAGTTAAAGTCATAAAAAGGAAGCGGGAAAGTGAGAGTGAAAGTGATGAGACCTCTCCAGTTGTTCCTCAGTTGATGAAAAAGGAAAAGAAGAAGAATAAGAAGAATAAGAAGCCTAAAACCGTGCTAGAAAGTGGGGGCGAGGCTGGAGATGGGGACAGTGACATCATGAAAAAGAAAAAGAAGAAGAAAGTAAAAGTGGTGGAAAAGATGTCTGAATAGTAAAAGCCACTTGAAGCATTGTGTCCAGCTAGGAGGAGAAATGAAAACCTTATTGAAAAACATTTTGTTGAGGAGTAGAACAGAGGTCCCAAACAGAGTATAGAGTTCTGGTACACTTTAGCCTACACTTGTGACCTCAGTGGTTAGGTTGTGGCCATTTCATTCTATCCTGTCCTGTCCTGTTTTAAGGATATGAGAGATGAAAAGCAGTTTTTGCCACTGACCCCTCTGCTTGCTTGAGTGGGGGAGCATACCTTCAGACATGGCACTGCCTAGTAACTGTCTGCAGCTGTTTACTAATGGCCATTTTAAACAATGCCATAGATAGTTCTCTCCTAGTTTGTTTTTTTTTTAATGTTTGTAAAATTTAAATCTGCTAAATAAAATGGTATAGAACCTTCAAAAAAAATAAAAATAAAATAAATGGTTGTAGTGCAGATGGGAAAATGTTATTTGGGAGGTGGATATTTAAATCTGTGCTACTTTTTATACATAGCAGGATGTAGGCACATTGTGTTCCTATAAATGCTGTGGGATGTTCTCTATGCTGTGAATGTGTTGCTCTGATCGGTTAATAAATAAAGTGCTGATTGACCAGTAGCCAGGCAGGAAATATAGGAAGGACAAGGAGAGAGGAGAATTCTGGGAAGAGGAAGGCTGAGAGAGAGAGACACTGCCAGCTGCCATGATGAGAAGCAGATGTTAAGATACCGGCAAGCCATGAGCCACGTGGCAACTTATAGATGAATAGAAATGGGTCAATTTCTTAGTAAAAATGTCAATTTTACCAAAAGCAATCTACAGATTCAATGCAATCCCCATCAAAATACCAACAAAATTCTTCACAGACCTGGAAAGAATAATACTCAACTTCATAGGGAAAAACAAAAAAACCCAGGATAGGCAAAAGAATCCTGTACAATAAAACAACCTCTGCAGGCATCACAATCCCTGACTTCAACCTCTACTATAGAGCTACAGTAATAAAAACAGCTAGGTACTGGCATAAAAACCAAAATGTGGACCAATAGAATCGAATTGAAGACCGCGATATTAATCCGCACAGCTATGAACATATAATTTTTGACAAAAAAGCCAAAAGTGTACAATGGAAAAAAGAAAGTATCTTCAACAAATGGTGCTGGCATAACTGGATGTCAACATGTAGAAGGCTGCAAAAAGATCCATATCTGTCACCATGCACAAAACTGAAGTCCAAGTGGATCAAGGACCTCAACATAAATTCAGCTACTCTGATTCTGCTAGAAGAGAAAGTAGGAAGTAGTCTTGAATGCATTGGCATAGATCACTTCCTAAATATAACACCAGTAGCTCAGACACTGAAAGAAACAATCAATCAGTGGGACCTCTTGAAACTGAGAAGCTTTTGTAGAGCAAAGGATATAGTCAACAAGGCAAAGCGACAGCCTCCAGAATGGGAAAAGGTCTTCACCAACCCCACATCTGACAGAGGACTCATATCCACAATATATAAGGAACTCAAGAAATTAGACATTAAAATGCCCAACAGTCCAATTAAGAAATGGGCTATAGAACTAAACAGAGACTTCTCAACAGAGGAAACTCAAATGGCTGAAAGACATCCCTAATTATCAGAGAAATGCAAATCAAAACAACTGTGAGATACCACCTTATACCTTGTCAGAACGGCTAAGATCAAAAACACTGAAGACACCTTATGCTGGAGAGGATGTAGAGCTAGGGGAACTCTCCTCCACTGCTGGTGGAATGCAAGCTTGTACAACCACTTTGGAAATCAATATGG